AAACTACAGAACAGTGTCATTGATTTCACATGCAAGCAAGAAAACATGAGGTGATATTTTTGGTTTAAAGTTTAAAGACTGCTTCATGGAAATCGTTTCAGGAGTGCCTCCTTGTCCTTTTGAAATAATCCCATTGATAGAGGTTTTGTTTTGTTTGTTGATTGACTTACAGCACTTCATTAATTAACACTCCTCGTCTTTTTACCCTATATCATGAACAAGGTTAGCTTGAGGTATACTTACCACAATTTCTCCTTCCTCCACAGTGTGGATCTTCATGTAGGTCCCCACCGATAATTCTTTGGCAATCTGGCCAGTCTTGGCATCAATCACAGAACTTCTGACCAAATGAGAACGTTTAGATCTGAAATTTGACAGGTAGTACGGCTGTAACACAATCCACTCCTAGCCAGCTCCAACCCTGGTATCCCACAACCTTGCTATAAGTAATTGCTCATTAGTTCTAGGCAATACATACTGAGAGCTTCCCTTCCTTGGGGAAATTACACCTTCCCACAAGGTAAGGAGGCTCAAAACCAAGCCCTTGGAGAGACTGACAGACAGTGTTAGGAGTTGGAGATGTTTAATAGGAAGGAGGTGAGAGGAAGAAGATGATGCTCCTTTAAACAATGGAGGAATGTTACATGGAAGAAATGGCTGAACAATCTGGATGCGATGTCCAGGCTGGAAGAATTAAACACAGCACGAGGGAGGATTTTCCCACAGTCTATTTTTTGGTGCCATGGAGTCAGCTCCAACTCATAGTGATCCTATGCACAACTTGAGATACTGCACACAGAGCTATCTGAAAATGGAGAAGACTTGTTTTGTGAAAGAATGAGTGCTGGGCCTCTGGAGAGACCACAGAAGTTGGGGCTCCTCTTGACAAGAAGCTGGTGAGAACATGGAATTCATTCATTCATTTTCACAAACACAGCTTTCTTTCCTGTACTTTGTTCATATTGGAGTTCATTTTACACAAATAATTCTGTTGTGCTTTTTGTTCTCTCTGCTGGTAAAAGAAAGAGGTGGGTAGTTTATATTTGGATTAGATATTGGGACATGATTATTCATAAATTGACAAGATTATTTACCAGAGTTACCCAATATATATATGAAATTCATCTTAATTCCTGTCCCATCAGAATGTCTGTGAGAGCTCCTTTCTTTTTCACTTGGGGTCCAAACTTTCTCTTCTCACTTGCTGAGGTACAGCAGACACACACTGGTATCAATCAGCTCTGTTCTATCTCCAGCTCAGAACAACTAGGATTATGATTTCAAGCCCTGGATGTCTTGAATATAACATTTCATCAGAAGTCATAAGATGCTCATTATGGAGACAAGCAGCTCAAAAGTGTCAATGGGCAAAAGAGCATTCAGGCAACATGGGGTTTGGGACATACTGATTGCATGATATTTTCATTTCATGTTTAATGCTGCCCTGGTTTCAACACTTATTTGCTCCTCGCTCTTTGCCTCTGTGTGTCCTCTCCCTCTCCAGGAAAGGCCTAAATGTGGCCGTTCATGTTCATCTACCTCATATTGGTCAGGGCAATTGTGCCAGACAACATGGCCAAGTACTAAGAAGCTGCTTCTTGTTGTTGTTGTGTGCTGTCAAGTCACCCATGACTCATAGTAAGTCTATGTACAACAGCCCTAAACCCTGCTCTATCCTGTGCCAATCTTAATTGTCTCTGACACATCTACCCCCATTACCCAAGTCACTGAATCAGTCCATCTTATCAAGGGTCTTCCTCTTTTGCACTGTCCCTCCACCCTCCCAAGCATGATGTCCCTCTCCAAGGACTGGTCCCGCCTTGCAACATATCCAAAGTATGTTAGATAAAGCTTCAGAATCCTTGCCTCCAAGGAGCAACCTGGTCTCACCCTCTCTAGGATGAACCTGTTTGTTCTCCTAGCAGTCCATGGTATATTCAATACTATTCTCCAGCACCACAGCTCAATGGTATTAATTTTCTTTCTATCATCCCTAGTCATTGTCCAGCTTTCCAATGCAAAGCAAGTAATTGCAGACTATAGTTTGGATCAGATGCACTTTAGTCTCCAGACTGACATCACTGCTCTTCAGTACTTCAGCAGACTTTCCCAATGCAATAACTCTTTTAATTTCCTGGCTGGTGATACCAAGAGTGTTGACTGTGGAGCCAAGCAAACAGAAGATGTTAATAATCTCAATCTCTTCTCCATCTATCATGATGCTGCCGATCAGTCCAGTGGTTAGAAGCTTTGTTTCCTTGATACTGAGCTTCAATCCATATTGAAGGCTACACTCCTTGACCTTCTGCAACAAGCGCTTCAGATCTTCCCCCGTTTCAGCAAGCAGGGTTGTGCCATCTGCATAATGCAGATTGAGATTGTTGAGGAGTCTTCCTCCAATCCTGATGCCACATTTCTCCTCATAGAGCCTAGTCTCCCGGATAATCTGTTCTGCATATAGATTGAAAAGGTATGGAGCTTATTTAGGTTTAAATCCTGTCTTTGTCACACTTTCTACTTGTGTGATCTTGAGCAAGTACCTAATCTTTCACTGTGCTCTCCTTTTCTCACTTGAAAAAAAGGAAATGATAATAATAGCATATATAAGGTTATGTTGGTGATTTAATTAGATAATTCTATACCAACAAGAGAGGAACCATCCCACAAGTGCTAGCAATAATTATCATAATCTCCTTTAACACTAGCTTGCAACATACTCAGGATTTAAGTGACTATTATTTAAAGATACCGAACAAATATTTAGAGAGGGCAAGTCCCTTGCTAAGGACATATAGAACTAAAATACACTACCAAATCAGGATTTGAACCTGTATTACACTGACCCCAAAGCCCAGGCTCTTGTCCACTATGGTACAACTGCCTCTTTTAGATGGGAAAAATTTTCTGAAAAAATTCTGAATCAGAAGTGGACAGTCACGTACATACAGACAAAGTTTCAGAGCTAGAAGATCCATTCAGCCCCTTCTTTCTCCAACAAGTTACTGAAGTCATAAGAAAGGAAGTATCTGACCATTTAAAATATCTGTAAGTTAGAGATAGAGAATGAAGTTCTCAGGTTTCAACTTAGAAGCTCTATAGGCTGCCTTATGGTCACATCTTACCTTTTGAGGCTGACCTAAGCCTACCTACTATAACCCTTTCCCAAAATCCCAATACATTCTGCCCTTTTAGTCATGTCTACCTTCCCAGTCAGAATCTAAACACTTCTATCAGCCAAGAGCTAAAGTTACCTGATCTTTGAGTCAAAAGTCTTAGGAAAATTAGTCACTGAAGTCTGATGTGTATTGAAGGTTGTCCTCTCTGGTCCCCAGGCTTTCTGGAGTTGCAGAAGTTTCAACGTGCTGAAGTCCTGTGCAGGATATGATTTGATCTGGAATTCCTTAAATCTCTCTTCAGGACAGGGTTCTTTTTGAGAAAGTACAAGAAAATATATTCATAAGTCTTTGCATAGATGAGGTGGGGGTAGGGTGGTAAAAACATATCATAAATAAGAAAAGCATTTTTACTCCCATGTAGTATCTCTTTGTGCCAAGTCCTATGCTAAGTCTTTATACACACTGCATCTAGATGAATATGCATAGTCACATTTAAGATCTTTGATGAACAACAGACAATTTAAGTCAACTATGACAGACCTGAAGCTTGGATTTGAACTCATGTTCATTTTACACAAAGCTCATATGTTTCCATTAAGAGATCACATTGCTCTGGGCTTTCAAAATGGGATGGGAATAGTAATTAAAGTTAGTAAATCAATGACCAACTATAGATCCTTGGAAAACTCACATAACCTCTTGGAGCCCTCATAGAACTATTATAGGGGGCCACTCGGCCACAGGCCGCCTCCGAAGCCGCGGGATGTAGCGAAGGGGACCGCGGCCCCCAGCACAGCCCGCCCGCCAGCGCGGCGTGTCTACCACCACAGGGAGACCTCTGCCCCCTGGGGCTGAGAGGCCCCTGTCTTTTCCCAAGCTGAAGCTACACGGTATTGAGGTACCAGCCAGATGTCTTCCCACAAAGGATCTGCAGTGGCACAGGGCAATGG